TTGTGTTTTTATTTTTCAACACAAAGAAATAACACTCATTGCAAACAATTAGTTTAAATTGATTTTAAATACAGTGATATAATATGTAAATAAATGGAAATAAAAAAGGAAATACTTAATTTATTGTAAATACAATGACTAATAGTATAAATAAAAGAAAATATTTAATCTGCAATCCATGTTTCCAAACAATTTTCATTAATGTGTTACACTTGTTTGCAAATAATTCTCATTAATGTGTTATTTTGTGTCCAAACAACTCAAGAAAGTACTTCATTTTTAATAATATAGATACATATATTAATAACTATTCGTGTACTTCGCATGTGTGGATGAAACACTTAGTTAATTTTAAAAGTGCCATCATAGACGATCAATCTAATCTGAAAGCTTTACATGTTCTTACATATATTATGGTCCGAATTCTAAGATACCTCCTGAATAAGAATTTGAGTGAGCCGCTTTGAGTAACATACGTTGCGTTTTCAATGGACATAGCTCCAAGACATTTATAAATGGTATACTAATGCCTGTCTTAACAAGACATGCCTGCAAAGAATCCGATTGCGTCACATGGATGATCTCCTCTATCTTATCATTAGTGTTCACTGTTGTCCCATATAATTAAATTATCATTATTTGGCCGGTTTAGGTTTAGATTTCGATATAAGTGATTTAGATCATAGATCGTAATAGATGATTGATACACCGTTAGTAAACTCCAAACTTGGGTCAAAAGACATAAAATAACCACTCAACTTTATAGTAACAAGGGCGTTCCTCACATGATAGCCTGGATCCGCTGATTTTCGATATAAAAAAACTCTCATGTAACTACAGCCACAAAACCGTTGACTTGTCAGCTCAAAAGAACACGCTGTAATTTTGGTCGACATGGAAAAACGAGAAATAAATTAAAGAGACATGCATCAAACCAACATTCTTAGAGCATGTCCATTAGTGGCTTTTAAGAAATGTTCAAAATTATGCTAGGCGCTGATCGGACGGCAATTCCGAGCCTAGCGAGTTACCAAAAAATTGGGGATTAATCGGGGTGTATGCGGGGATTAGTTTTTATATTTTTTTAACTATAAATATATGGTTATATAGTAATCCATGTGAATATATAACGTAGAAAGAAAATAGTTCAGTGGTTGATGATACATGTGATGATGTAGACTGTGTCGGGTTCGATTCTTTGGTGCTGCAAGCTTTTTCTCTTTCTTCAATTAACGCAAATTAAAAAAAAAATTATACCCAACTTCTGTTTGTCCCACAGCGACTAAATTTCAAGATTTCAACTAATCGGATTTTTCCCGTTATTTGCATTTGTATTTGTAATATGCGTTTATGTCATTTTTATTGAAAAAATTTGTGTATGTTTTTATTTTAAATCATTCTACTTTAAAAAAAAATTAAGAACCTCTATGGAATCTACCGTTGGAGGTAAAAAATTAATTAGCATAAACTAAAGATCTTAAACTTTCAAATTACCTTTTTAACTCTTAAATTATTCTAAAGAGCCTTTAAGGGTTTCTTTGGAGAGGTGGTCTTACGTACTCGTTGACTTCGACTTTTGTATAGAAGCACTTGATTGGTTGATCTTATCTTTTACAATGGAGAGCTGGTCTTACGTACTCGTTGACTTCGACTTTTGTATAGAAGCACTTGACTGGTTGATCTATCTCTTAGAGCATCTCCAATGTATTACTCCATTTTCTACTCTAAAATGGAGTAACTCCAAAATGCAGTTGAGTTTTACTCCAATGTATTACTCTATTTTCTACTCCAAAAGAATATTTTTAATATTATATTTATTTCAAAATTAGGAATATCACCTTTCATTTATACTATTTGCAAAACAGTCCATTTTAAATTTATAGCATTTC